CGCCACCATATACCCCACTCTCGTTTTCCGCGCTCTCTCATTCTTCCTACTAGGTCTATTCAGTTCAGCTGCTAGACATTTAACAAGGTCAAAAATAAGGCACGCTTTCCACGGTTACCGGATATTAGCACCATCCGCCAACCCACCTTACATACCGTTTATCTAATTTTCATTTAACCTCCATCTAATTGGCAAACCTTTCAACCTATCCTTTTGTTTATCATCGATTGACGTTTTCCTGCTTACACGTTGAATCGTATTCGATAACGTTATTCTCGCATAATCGTGACGAATTTTTTCCTTAGGGAATTTATCGGTATGGTACTGTTTTTTAACCGAAACTGAATATTAAAAGGTATCAATTATCACGTTCTTTGCTTCCAATCCGATTATCTCTAAATGCTTCTTTATTCTTTCTCCGTTCACTTTTTTTCACAAATTGACCCTATTAATGCTATTAATTAATATAATAAGGTAACGATCATAACACGATACGCTATAATTAAAAAGTTCCGTAACCTATCGTGTGTTCTAATTTTTCTTTCTTTTTTTTTTTTATTCACTTTTATTGACTCACGAGTTTTACAATCAATTCCTCAAATGGGAATTATAAGTAAAAATGATAGCGTGTTCTAATGTAATACGTATTATTCCACTGTCCGTAGTTCATTTCATTTCCTTTCATACCGACGAACCTTACACTTAATTCCTCTCTCCGTAGTACATCTATCTAACTAACTAACGATATTATGATGTATCGGTTATTCATCTCGTTCCTCTTTTTCTCCAATGCCGAACATTCCCGTGTAATAGTTGTTTATCAACAAATCATCGTGTATTTTTCAAATACATAAAATGAAGAAAACATGAATTACATATCGGTCGATGATAACTTTGATTTGAGAAAATTCTTCTCGGCAACATAGTTCTCTTGAATGTAATAGGAAATTTTCAAGGCAGGAAACTACGTTCCTCTTTGCGGTTTCCTCTTCCTCCTTTCTTCTTTCAACAAATCGTTCGTCATTTCGAAAATACGGTAGCCATGTCCGAACACAGAGGAATACAAATTTCTAAATGATTTTATCGCAATCTCTCACGGTTCGCGTTTAAAAATTTCAATCGGAATTCCATTAAACGAAGATTAAGTAATAAGAAATTAAGAAATACGTGATAAATTTCTAAACATTTCCACTTCCTCTCCACTTCCTTTGCGTCATTCATATTTATATAGAAATAAAAACCAAAAACTACTTTTAACGACAATGAGATTGTATTCCAATTGATCGATATTATAAAATATCAATGTACTTTCTTCTCTAAAAATGATTATCGATAATCAGCGAATGTTACTTGCCAACAATTACTGCCGAACAGTACTTCGTGGCACATAAAATCGTGTTATAAAAAAATAAATCATCCTTCCGGATTATTACCGATAACCCTGTGCACCACAGATTTCCACATTCTCTATATTCTCTATATATTCTCTATATTCTCTATATTCTCACATTTTCATTTCGTCGAATTCGCTTTAATTCAATTTTATTTCCCATGTCCTTATAAATTACGAAAATTAACTCATAACCTTGTCGATCCAAGGCACGAATTTCTGAATATTGGTATATACACCTGGCAAATGTTCTCGACCGCATCCTATACCCCAGGACACAAGACCAATTAGTACGTGTCTTCCTTCGACGGACATAGTTAAAGGACCGCCCGAGTCTCCCTATTCGGAAATGAGTTTCTAAGTATGTTTGTGAATTAATATTTACGAATCGTTACTTAACTTACCTGACAGGAATCTCTCCCACCTTCCTTATAACCTGCGCATAAAAACACGTCATGAATGGTTTCTCGTCTTCCAGCTGCTCTAAACCAACGTTGACATCTTTCGTTTGGAATTACCTGAAAATAATTTACTTTTTTTATAATTTTGATAATCCACCGAATTTTCAATGATACGCTATACACATGTGCGTGTGTATATACATATGTAAGTGTCACTCTGCCCACATATCGCGTGTTATACGAACTTCGACGTCAACCTCTTGAAGAATAGACGGCGCTGAACTTTGTCCATGCCTAGTTCTACCCCAGCCGGCAACCGTGGCTGTACGTCCAGATAACTTAAGACTTTTCGCCGGTAAACAGACAGGTACGATATGTTGTTTAAACGCCACTGTTTTCGAAAGTTTCACCAATGCCACATCATTTCGGAAGTCCGTTGCCGAGTATTGCGGATGAACCTGTAATTTTTAATAGCAAAGCATTCAATTCTCTCTCTCTCTCTCTCTCTCTCTCTTTCTCTTCACACACGCGCTCACGCACACACATGTTTATATGTATCTATCTATCTCTTTACCTTCCGTGCGAAAAGGAAAAGAAAAAAACGTACAACATTTCCACCCACCTCCTTCCTTTCGACATTAAATTCTTCGTGTAGCAGTCGTTCGGATGCATCCCTGACGTCCCATTCACCGAGACGTACCTTTAGATTACCATTCGGTGTTCTATATAAAAAGAAACATTAATCTTTACTATGAAAAATCAAAATTTTCAATTATCCAATATTATTCCTACGTATTACAAATGTTTTACTAACGTTGCAACGCAATGCGCTGCAGTAACGACCCATCTGTTATTCAGTAAAGCACCGCCGCATGATAACTTCTTTGTTAAAAATCCCGACTTGATAATGGCAGCCTAAATATCGAGAAGAAATATAATTTAACGATATCGATTGATTTACTCATTACAAAAATTTATCGGCTCATGTATTATGATTTTTTTCAAAAATCACTTACCTGCCAAGGATGACTACCGAAATTGGAACTATGCCCACCCACGATTCTATTGCTTCTCGTATAAAGTTCACCGCAACCTGTAACGTAAAACGAATTCATGTATGCAAAATTTTCCCATTAGTTTCCCATGAATTTCACACGAATTACGTGAATGATTATTTGAAATAAAGCTACATTACGATTAACTAGACTATAGGAAATTAATCGACTAGAGGAAAAAAGAGATATATGTATATATATAGCTACTGTATTTATATGAATGAGAATTTGGTCAACGCATAAGACGCATACAATGTAAACATATCATTTCTTTGCTTTAAGGTTAAACGATCACGTTACCACGCTACCACGTTAAACGTGGTATTCGATATCGATATAGAATACATACATACATATTCATATTCGATATCGATGTCACGAACATTTAAATATTTTGCCAAATTGAATATTTTTGCAAATCTTACAATGGTCTCTTGCCCATAAACTTCTTCCTCGTAATATCCGATGATCACCCCCATTCCTCTAATTTCTTTCTCCTTCTTTTTTTCTTTCATCTCCTTACTATCCTTCACCTGATATCTATTTTTGATGTGATGATAGCGGTAAAGCCACGTACGAAAGTGTGCGAATAGATAGAAAAGAGATGTCAGACAGAAAAAGAGAGATGTGAAGAGAAGAAAAATATTTTCTTTTTTCCTTATTCCGATCTAGCACGCATCTTTTATCCGTTAAATCATTACTGCAAATACCGTTGCGAATTTGGAAGAGTAAGGGAAAACATAGAGAAAGTCTGGCAGAATTTTTAAGTGGCAATCAGAAATAGGAGTTAATACATAGTTTGATGTAGACTAATTCATATGCGCGCGCGCACGTGTGAAAATATATATGCGTATATATGTGTATATACATGTGTGCATATACGCATATTAATACTGGTGCAAAACTTTTGACTGTGCTTTTTGACTTCATGCGGATTACCACGATATTTGGAATAATCCACCGAATTTGAGACGTCCTCGTTTGGTGTGTGCATCCCCAAAATTTGGGGATAAGCGGCATCATATTCATCCTGAGGATAATCAAGCTGGTGTGGATGGTAAATCGATGGACGACTCGTATACACAGGTCGATCGTAATCCCATGTCTGAGAAGACTCATAAACGGTTGTTGGTTTGTGCGCGATGTCGGTATACAGGTAGCTCGTTCCATGTTCATGCTGACCACTATACGCCGGTTTACTTGGCCTTGCCAAGTTGTCGTAGATTTGCACATCATCGTCCACATAGGGATGTTGATTTCCCAAGTTTAACGAAAGCGCTATGTTTAAACAACCTCGATTTTATCTTCTCCACGTAATTAATCACTATTTCCGATCAGCCCGAAAACATTATTACAATTTATACAGGTTTCTAAGGTTTATTTAATTCTACTTGTAATTGCGTTCATTCGATCCGAATTAACCCTGGTTTCATATATATATATATATATTTCATATATCCCAAGAACGAAACACCTCGATATATCCTCTCCGTCGTGTCTATCGTGTCTACGATGTATTATTTCCTTTTCCCTTAACTAACTATTAAGCTATTTCAAATACATTTTATCGCACCAACACTTGCATTCCATATGATAACCGATATGATAACCAGACAATGCATAATGATATTCGAGAATTTGACATCTTAAATTGGATGCCTAAAAGAGTAAAAGATGAAACGAGAAAAGGAATGATTCGATGAAAACTCACTAGCGTTCTGCAGCAACCCGATTGTCGGTCGTGGTATTTTTTCAGGAATGTCATCGTCATCGACGCAACAACTCCATATCAATCCTCCGGAACATAAATCGACTGGACGACCACCTCCGAGAACGCAACTGATACTAAGGCCACAATCGAATGTCGCTCCTTTGTAGGTACACGTTTGAGGTATCACTAAAACAAAGTACATAGTTGTCAGGAATCACTCATTTCCGTTGCCTTACAAACCACATCTATATGCATATATGTATGTATGTATGCATGTACGTATGCATGTATGCATGTACGTGCATACATATATACGCATACGCGCGTTCACCCCCTTCCTTGCTACCCCGTCCCATACCCGCCCGGCCACACACGCGCACACGCATACACAAACCAACATTAGGCATGTTATATAACATGTAACATGTATAATTGAAAATCGTAACTAGTACGTTACGTACGTTATTTTGTATTATTTCATATAATGATAATTATATCGCTCCTACGTATCCGCGAGCAAGTAGGAAAAAGGTTTACGAGCTAATTTTTATATGATAAAAATTAGATATGACAATGATCATCGTACTAATCATTCGCACTCTGTCGTTATTCGTTTATCAATGTTGCTAAAGTTGACAAAATGTTTTTCACGTGTTACGTCTCGTTGCGTCTTGTGTCGAGTTTCGTTGTCGTCGAGTCGCGTACTCGCGTCCCGATGCTTCGTCGTACGATATATCGCATTGCTTTCTTTCGGTCTGTTTGCCGAGATAAATACACGGCTGCTTTCGTTTCAAATTACGATTTCATAAGTGAAATCGTAAATTCGATGCATCTACGCGACGAGATCGAGTAGGAAAGTCGGACAGCTAGTGCTTTGATTATCCGTATATCATCCACGAATATGTCTCTTAGTGCAATTAAATCTTTCGCTGTCAAATTACCGATCGTACATTGTTCATCGTCTGTCGTTATTTTTTTCTTTCTTTTTTTTTTCTTTTTTCTCTTTTCCTTTTTTTTTTTTTCTTTTTTTTTTGTCGCATGCTGCTTTATGTTTTCTCTTGCTTCTTTTCTGTTATTCGGCTAAAAATATTATTTAACGGTCGATCTTTCTTGAAGTTCGATTTATTTTTCAAGGGGAACATCATTCTTCTATTTCGATTTGTCTTATACGAAACGTACTTCTACCCAACATGTCCATTAAGCCATTCTGCAGATCGCTATTATGACCTCGATGATCTCCGGTATAATTTCGTTTCTTCCTCAGAGCTTCGACGAGCAGAGTACCTTGTTGTTGACTGTTCAATTTGCGGCTTCTTCCTTCTCTGTAATTGGTCCTTATCAACTGCCCCGATTCCTCGCTATTCATCTTTTCCTTCAGCCGACGAAGAAATTTGGGAAAATCGTTCTCTTCGACGCTATCATCGAAATATCCGTCGTCGATATTTCGTCTATTTACTAACCGTCTTTGTTTAATATTCCTTTTATCCGAGATCGAAATATAACTTTCGCTATCGTTACCAACATCTTCGGCTATGTCACGAATACGCTTCCCTTCGAATTGCCTTTTCCGATTTCCAATCGCATTAAACTCCGACGAATTTCCTCTCTTCAGATAATCCAACCTACCTTCCGATTCATCTTCATTTCTATTTCGAGACTTTTCCAAATTATTGTCATCTCCTCGATCCTTCCACCATCCTTCTCCTCTTCCATCGAAGTTCACGCGTTTTTTTTTATCGATATCCACCTTTCGTACAAAGCTATCAACGTACGGCTTTCCTTCGAATGGATTTCCAATTGCCAAACTATTCTCCAGCTTGCCCGTTTCTCTGAGACTTTTATTGGTCAGCAGTTGCTTTTGAATCCGTAAGCTCAGAGACTCTTGCTCTGTAACCTGTCCGGTAGACAATAACGACAATTTCTCCGCTCTTTCATTTTTCCTAGATTTCTGCAATTTCGAAAACCAATTGCGTAAATGTGACAAAGACGGTGTAGTAGAAGTAACCAAAGGCCGATCGTAACTCACTGCATCGTAGTTACCGTGCTTGAATGCGGTAGCAGTTACTATGAGAAACACGTGTACAACCACAACCACACTCATGATCTAATATGCTTCTAATTTATTGTACAAATAAATTAGGCCCGTATTAACGTGTCGTCACAAATCGCGTCATAACAGATACGTAAGTTACTTTTCCTTGATAAAATTCTCGACTTGATCGACTTGATCGACTTGATCGACTTCATTCCTTTGTTATCGTTGAAAACCGCACAAGTTGATGATAATCCCGGAAATATATCGATCAAATCGGGCCTTCGACATTTTACCTTCATTCCATCGATCGATTCGATTCAATGGTATATATCACCTGGTAAATTCCTGTCACAGGGATGATATCGAAATCAAAGACCTCTGCGCGTGTATCGCCTCTTTGAGAATGTTGCACGATAAATAATGCGTTGATTAGAGAGTAACGTTCGTTCCCCTGTCAAACTTGTTGGCCACCGTTTATACCCATGCACAGGCTTTTTTCTTTGCAACAGTCTTCGATATTAATTTTCACCTGGCCTATCGACTAATCGATGTGCTCCACCGACTGACTCGAGACTCTACCGGCATTCAAAGAAGCGTTCCTGGCTTTCACCGACGTCAGCTTTCTCATTGCTATGATAGCACGTCCTTCCTAACATTGGTTCCCCACTTGTTCTCTTCTTCACTCTCTTTTGCTTTCTTCCCCCCACTCCTCAGTGTCGTCTTGTCTTTTTCTTACCCTCTGCGTCCCTTTCTCTTCCCACGCGCGCACGTCTATGTACCGTATCATTGTTCCACCGGCAATACAATCGAGTAATTGCAACAATAATCGAGAAATAACATAAAAAAATACAGTTCTAATCGACATTCAGATGTATACATGCTATTATTGTATCCCAAGTTGTAATCTCGTTAGACTGACTAACAATTAGTTCGGTAGTACAACGATAAAGCGTACAAACGACGAGCGAATCAACGAACAAATGTACGTATGCACCGATATCGAAACTACGTTGACGCGATAATAGCGTAATGAAGAAGAAATGATTAAATTTCTTCTTAAATAGAATGATTCGAAATGTCTAATTTCCCGTCGCGTTGTATATTCACATGAAACTTACGTCCGAGCTCGTCGAGAAATCGTGTCTGCCCTTCTGAATCGACTACATTTTCCATTGTAGTTTCCTTTGTTGTATCTAGATCTAGAATCGAAATGTGTAATCATATTAGCATAAACGTCATGCAAAAGAACAATGACTGATGTTCTATCGAAGTGTCGTGATTGATATGCATTCATGTTTTCGTGAAAATTAAGAGAAACAATATAAACATACTATTTGCTTCTTTTCATCAATTCAGACTCACCAAATTTCTCTAAATATCGGTCATTTTTCCTGTCATCGGCTTGACTATAGAATCCAACGAGGAGCAGAACAAAAGGCAAACGTGCAGGGAAATTCATTTCCTCTCCCCCTTTCCTTCTCCCGCTCTCTCACTCACTCTCTCTCGCTCTCTCTCTCTCTCTTTCCCTCTCTTCTCAGAGATCTAAGACGACCGACTTCTTGGCGATGTTGTACCTCTTCCAGTTGTTCCGAGATGCAGAGGAACACGTTAAATTTTGATCGATATTTAGCAGAAGTTTCCTGCCTGTGCGATATCTTTTCCAACCAAATTGTTTTATTCCTTGCCCTTTTTGGAACATTTATTCGACGATGATAACTCGCATAGTGATTTATTTGAACAGAATCGCAACAAAAAATTCAATCGATGGTCCGACATTTTTGCCAAACTACTTCTCCACTTTGTTCTTTTTAAATCGAGTTCAGGAGAATACGATAGAATTCTGGGTAATACAGTCGATCGATTGCATTTCTAGTTCTTTCAATTTTCATAACACATCTTCTTCCTTTTTCTCCTTTTTCGTTGTCGCTAAATTATATATATATACACTTATCGAATAATAATAAAAAGACAATCCTTCGTTTCGCAGAGTACACTTTAATCGATGATATTTCGATGAAAGGAACACGAATTTTCGTTCTTTAATTTCGTTCCTGAACTCTGTTTCTTTCTCTTTTCCTGTGTATCTTCCGTGTACCGTAAGGACACGCGAAGCGTAGCGAAGGCATTCACACGTAGTGTGGTCCGGTAGAAAAGTGGGTCGAGAAACCAGGTCACCGAAACAAGTAGCACGTTGTCTTTTCGCGTCGTTGCTTCCTAACACGTTCTCAGTTCCCTACA